TCCATTTTTTTTTTATTAGATTGACAATTTTTGAAAAAGCAACTTCCCTTCATCAACCATGGGTTACCTTAAGGTATAAGTCATTTAGAAAAGACAGGCTATACCATCAGTTCAATTTTGAAAGAGGCTTATCTGAGAGCTCCTAGGTTTCAAGGTTGTATATATTTTGCCTTTAAAGTATTTAATTGTAGCTTGTCCTACTTTTAAAATTACACTACATTTACAAGATGTAGTTTCACATCATGGCTTAAATAAGAATAAATTTGCCTTTAAATAGGATTATAGGATTTAGTTCTAACACTCTTGAAGAAAACTTGACTCTTGAAGAACTGAGATGCATTCAAATGTTCAACAAGCAGATTTCCAATGTTCAGCTGCATTTCACAAAAGCTAATAAAATATCAAACTCTTTTCTGATAGGTGACCAACTAAATAATTTATGAAAACAAAGGCTCAAAACAAACAAACAAAAAAATAAAGATTCAGGTAAGTGCAAGTGCTATTATAGCAAGTATCTATTCTCTTTCTACTTAAGGAAATGTACCAGGGCTGTAGTAATTTGGAATCAGATAGACAGGGTTTGAATTCCCCTTCTCTTATTATGGTGACCTTGAGCAAATTATGCATTGTAAATATATAACGAGAATATGAAACATCAGTGAATACTCTAAACATTATACATATCTTGAAAGTTAGAAAATAATCCATTTAGCAAAAGCCTCCTTTTCATCACTTTGGTTAGGGGTGGGGATGAGGTAAGGAATGTTGCTAATTGCCAAATATTGTTAATTATGAAAATACAGTAAAAATTGTTGCATTGAAGCATGTCATTCTTTGATCCTCAGGGCAGTGGTAATATAACCAGCTTTAGGCTAAAACAGTTTTTACTCAATACTGATGGACCTGCCTGGCAGACCAGGCAGGTCTACCTACCCCAGAGGATCCCTAGAAGGAAGTTCAGAGAGAACTGAGCATTTGCCAGAGTCAAACTTGCCTTTGGTTCTACTAAAAGTATAATGGAAGACTGAGCTGCAGTCAGACAGAAATGTGCTCTAATTGCCTAGAAAATAACCAAAACATACCTAGACATTTTCCTTCTATTGCTATTAAACTTAGCCCTCTGTCTCAACCTGCCCTCCCTCTCCCACCCCCTTCTCCCATATTGAGTCAGTACTGCCCCATCTCCAGTTTGGCTCCCTGCCTTACTGGAGCCCTATTATCCCGGAGTTGTTTCAGCTTTTGTGACAGTGCCAACACATAGTTGTTAATTCATGGGGAGTCAAAATGATTTCCAAGTCAGTGAGAAACAAGTACAAACATTGGAAAATGTATCCCCACCCCCTAATCTTTATAGAAATCTGTTGATTAGAAATATAAAAAAATTGAGCTAACTGGGATAACAGGGTATAAATTGTTAAAACACAAAAAGGATTTTACGAAGCATAATGTTCATATCTTGTCACTGCCTTAATTATATGTATAATGTAAGTTCTGTGGGCATTGTCTTAGAATGATATTCTAATAAACTTTTAATTGAAATGCACACACGGAAAAGTGGATTTGCATTTTTAAGGTCATTAAGTAACGCCACATTGCCATGGCTGCCTTACTAATTTCTTCTGTGACCCAAAATACTTCTTAAAACTTGTGAATTTATGTGATAGAACATTTTCAGTTTTAAAGTGGCATTAAGTTCAGTTGTGCTGTGCATCATCAGACTTAGTTCTGAGTAATGCCTAGAACAATGCACAGTATTTTATATTGGCCAATGTGTTTTGTAACTCCTGAGCCCAACAAGTTCACGAGCTGAATTAAGAATGAAGTTCAGTCTAGACCTTCAAGGTTATATTTTTCCATTCATATATATATGAATATTTTTCCTATTCATATATCTATTCATATATATATATACACACATACAACTTATGCTATTTTTAACAACTATGTTAACTACAAAGAATGAAAAGATTTTGCAACCAAGGGTTGGAGTGGAAACAATTTTTAAGATAGAGATCAAACTGTGTTTATAGACACCATTATTGTCAGCTTTACTCTCGGTCATTTCCTGTGGGAATATTTCACAGGGACAGAATTTTATGATTTGATTATTCATTAAATGGCCTTAGTTCTGTGGAATAAAAATAGTGTATTACTATAAATAGTAATGTATGCAAATTATAATGTAACATTTCATGGTATTTTCCTAGATAAGAATTAAGATAATTTAACAAACTGTATTCTTATCCATCACTGAAAGAATTTTAAAACAACACTAATACAGTATGGTCTAGTGGAGAGTTAGGCAACAGACTGGAAATTAAAGTCATTTGTTTACTTCAAATTAAAGTTGGCATTAACTTAAAAATATTTATTCATCATGTCCAGTATATACTATACTTATACTCTGTGGAGAATACCAAAGTCAATTATAAATAAATAATCCATTTAGCAAAAGCCTCCTTTTCATCACTTTGGTTAGGGGTGGGGATGAGGTAAGGAATGTTGCTAATTGCCAAATATTGTTAATTATGAAAATACAGTAAAAATTGTTGCATTGAGAGCATGTCATCTTTGATCCTCAGGGCAGTGGTAATATAACCAGCTTTAGGCTAAAACAGTTTTTACTCAATACTGATGGACCTGCCTGGCAGACCAGGCAGGTCTACCTACCCCAGAGGATCCCTAGAAGGAAGTTCAGAGAGAACTGAGCATTTGCCAGAGTCAAACTTGCCTTTGGTTCTACTAAAAGTATAATGGAAGACTGAGCTGCAGTCAGACAGAAATGTGCTCTAATTGCCTAGAAAATAACCAAAACATACCTAGACATTTTCCTTCTATTGCTATTAAACTTAGCCCTCTGTCTCAACCTGCCCTCCCTCTCCCACCCCCTTCTCCCATATTGAGTCAGTACTGCCCCATCTCCAGTTTGGCTCCCTGCCTTACTGGAGCCCTATTATCCCGGAGTTGTTTCAGCTTTTGTGACAGTGCCAACACATAGTTGTTAATTCATGGGGAGTCAAAATGATTTCCAAGTCAGTGAGAAACAAGTACAAACATTGGAAAATGTATCCCCACCCCCTAATCTTTATAGAAATCTGTTGATTAGAAATATAAAAAAATTGAGCTAACTGGGATAACAGGGTATAAATTGTTAAAACACAAAAAGGATTTTACGAAGCATAATGTTCATATCTTGTCACTGCCTTAATTATATGTATAATGTAAGTTCTGTGGGCATTGTCTTAGAATGATATTCTAATAAACTTTTAATTGAAATGCACACACGGAAAAGTGGATTTGCATTTTTAAGGTCATTAAGTAACGCCACATTGCCATGGCTGCCTTACTAATTTCTTCTGTGACCCAAAATACTTCTTAAAACTTGTGAATTTATGTGATAGAACATTTTCAGTTTTAAAGTGGCATTAAGTTCAGTTGTGCTGTGCATCATCAGACTTAGTTCTGAGTAATGCCTAGAACAATGCACAGTATTTTATATTGGCCAATGTGTTTTGTAACTCCTGAGCCCAACAAGTTCACGAGCTGAATTAAGAATGAAGTTCAGTCTAGACCTTCAAGGTTATATTTTTCCATTCATATATATATGAATATTTTTCCTATTCATATATCTATTCATATATATATATACACACATACAACTTATGCTATTTTTAACAACTATGTTAACTACAAAGAATGAAAAGATTTTGCAACCAAGGGTTGGAGTGGAAACAATTTTTAAGATAGAGATCAAACTGTGTTTATAGACACCATTATTGTCAGCTTTACTCTCGGTCATTTCCTGTGGGAATATTTCACAGGGACAGAATTTTATGATTTGATTATTCATTAAATGGCCTTAGTTCTGTGGAATAAAAATAGTGTATTACTATAAATAGTAATGTATGCAAATTATAATGTAACATTTCATGGTATTTTCCTAGATAAGAATTAAGATAATTTAACAAACTGTATTCTTATCCATCACTGAAAGAATTTTAAAACAACACTAATACAGTATGGTCTAGTGGAGAGTTAGGCAACAGACTGGAAATTAAAGTCATTTGTTTACTTCAAATTAAAGTTGGCATTAACTTAAAAATATTTATTCATCATGTCCAGTATATACTATACTTATACTCTGTGGAGAATACCAAAGTCAATTATAAATAGTCTCTGCCGTTAAGGAATTTATGAATTTTCTTGTAGGGGAGATACCGTATGCCTTGTATAAACCAAAAAGAAAACAATAAATATGCTATGTATGGGTATGAATAAAATGCTATTGGAGTTTGGAAGAATGGCAGATCAGAGATGACTTCATAAAGAAGGCAGTTGGGTGGAGTCTTAAAGGATGGGTAAAATTTCTGCAAATCAAGATGAAGGGAAAATTATTCCAGGAGGTGGAGACCACACTAACAAAGGTAATATAGATCAAAGCACATTTAGAGACTGGAGCCTTTGACTAGTAGAGAAAAAAAGAATTTACACAGAAAGACTGAGTCTGAAAAGGCAAATTAGAGCTGAATTATTCTTATTCTGTTATGCAAGTATTTATCCAATATATATTTCTCGAGTAGTTACTATATACAAGTTCTGTGCTGAGTTAGGAGTACATTCATGAACTACGTAGACGAAAGCCTTTTCTAATATGTCAGCTCTAAAAAAATGTAACTAAATAAGGGATTATGGCAACACTGATTACAACACCAGGTACTTCAGTTTACGACTGTTACATAGTACATGTTTCTGAGAGTTGCAACTAAAATGATTCGGAACGTTTCTGGAACACATGGTTACATTGAGATACACCTGTACTCATACTTGGTCCTTCAAAGCAACCTTTGTTTTCTCCCAAGCTAGGGCTTGCTATATTAGATACGCCTCGTGCAGTGGTGGCCGTGGGGAGGCTGGCGAAGGTGAAGGGTGGCAGCCAGGAGGGCACTTTCCCTTTCTCTGTCTCCCTAATTAAAACTCTGCAGCCTCTAACCCGGACTCACCTGCCGGGCCGGTCTTTCTCCTGCCTTGACTCTCACTTCGCCCCCACGCTCGGTGCGCTCGCCCTGCTTCCCTGAGTCTCCTTTGGCTCACCCTCACCCACCTCCGCGCC